CTAATCAAACAAATGCAAATCATGCTGCAGTCTACCATGCAAAGCAAACTCCTTGTGCTTTAATATGCAGTTATTTTGTGCCATGATCCCTGTTAAATAAAGATATTAGTTTTGAACACTTTCCCTCTCAAACTTCAATATAAACTTCAAACATGATATTGTCTTTCATTTTCAACATGAAAATGATGTCTAAACTTACATTCCAATTTATATTTCTGAAAGACCTACTATTTCAGTAGCTACCTTGCTCCAGATCTCACAAGCTCTTGCTTGCCCATCAGTCTCTGATATGGGGCCCTCTTTCATGTCTTTTGAAACATCTAACTCTTCTGTTTCTACCAATGCTGCTTCATCAATTACAGCTTTAGTAACTTCAAAGAAACCTTGCAGGTCACTTAGGCATGGCCTCCCCACCTGAGTCCATGAACATACTCTTTAATCAAGCTTTCTAGCTTTTAACACGTACTCCCAGATGACTTCTAAGGTCATGCACCACTCTCCTTCAGTTCCCCAGACAAGAGGGGAAGCCCAAGCAAGTGAAGCTGCACAATATCTCTCATTGCCACAGTCACCTTAGATCCCAACACTGAAATTCCTAAAGAGTAATCACTCGCTGCAGGAAAGGTAACATGGAAGGCAGGAGCTAATGAGCTGGGAAAGAGTCTTTATAGTTGTGGCTGTGACCAGAAGGACCCACAAGCCTAGGATTCACAGGCTCTTAACATCTTCCTGAGTCACCTGCTCTCCACAGCCTTCATTAACTCTCGGAACATACCCTACAGTACTTTCCCATTGGTCCCCAGATCTATTATTATCAAAAATAGGCATTTACTATGATTTAAAGGAATTTTCGCATGTTTTATTTCTATCAGTGAGTCAACATCCTCTTTTCCTTTCTTAATGCCAGGCTTGGGTTCACAGCCCTCTTCTTCCTCTGTGTCCTCTGGCTGGCAATTCTCAAGGATTTTAGATAGTGTTTCTGTACTTGTGATTCTCAGATTCTCCCTCTGTCATCAACCTTTCTGCCTCTGTTCAGTCCCAGTGCTGAAGCTGCTGTCTGGCATCTCTTCCTAGAGATTTTTTCATCAGGTTATGCTAGCTGAAGTGCAGAGTTGCCTTGATTTAGCTTCACTTTCCCATTTCTCATTCATAACTGATACAAGTAACATACTCCCATTCCTGCTGTCTTCCCTCCCTTTTTCCAAGAGTCACACACAAATAGCACCAGGTTCCAGGCCTTCCTTCTAGCACCAGCTTAAAGTCTGTTACCATTTTCACAGACAAATCTGCTGGTTAGACCTCTTTGGAATGTCTCACCACAGCTACTGCAAAGTTTTCTTCTCTGCATCCCAACCATGCAACGCTCTTTGCAAGGAAGCTGCAGGTGACCAAACACCTCATCTTACAAACCTGAGCACACTGATTGCTCCTTGACAGCCTTCCACTTCTTCACCTGCTGTTGCCACACATCTGAATTTCTCTCATACTTGCAAGTTCAGCCCAATTGCATTCCCCTGGTCTGCCCTCTTCCATTGGGCGTTGTGCTGTCCGTACCACTTGTACATTCCATCAGCATTCCCTAACCATGTACCTTTCAATTGTATGTTTCACCAGCCTATCCCGTTCATCATGACGCGACTTCCCATGGTCAACCCACAAAAGGTCAGCTCTCCAGGCTTTGCCATAAGTCCATTCCTCCTGAGACAGCAAATAAAATAAAATACAAAACTCATCTACATACCTCTCTTACTTCCTTTTCACACAACCATCTTCTGGCTGTTCTTCAAGCTCCTTGCAAGACAGGAACTGGGGGGGTTTTTGAAACTTCCCTTATCATTATTTGTGACTCGGTGAGAATAAAAAAAGAATTAAAACACAAACCCAAATTGCAACTTCCTACCAACACAGGCGTTAGGAAAAACAACCAAGTGAACAGTAGGAAAAGACGAAGAAATGGTGTAGGTGTGTGGAACCAAGTAAAAGCACAATGTGATTGGAAGTGACAACCCTGGGTACCCCTGCTCGTGAGGCGAGGAATTTACCCTGGGGAGATCTTGAATTCTGCCCTCCGGCCAGTCCGGCGCAGGCAGGACGAGCAGAGCCGTGACTCACGCCAATGGTGCCCGAAAGGGTCGCTCAGAGCCGAGCGAGGGGCAGCACCGGGACACCGCCGCTCCCGAAGGGGCCGCTCGGTGTGACCGCCGCGGGGCCACGGGAAGGTGAGCGGGGCGGGGGCTCTGCCCGCAGCCGCGGGTCCCGGAGCGGCGCCCCGGTCCCGGCGCGGCGGCGGGCGCGGCCCGCGCTAGGACCCGGGCGGGAGCGGCGCCTGCGCGGCGGTGCCCGGCGGCGGGCGGGCTGCACCGAGCGGCTCGGCGGCGGCGGGAGGAGCGGCGGGAGGAGCGGCGAGCGGCAGCGCCGCGGGTCCCGCCGCCCGCACCGGCAAGCGCTCGACCCGGGCCGGCCGGGCGCAGGGGCGGAGGCGGCGGGAGCGCGGCGCTGTCCCTTCAGCACCGGCGGCGCCCCCCGCCCCGCACCGCCGGGAGGGGCGCGGGCACAGCCCCGCGTTCCCTGCGGGGGCTGCAGCCAGCACCGGCGCCCCGCAGCTCCGCGCACCTGTGGGCAGCGCGGGTGCCGTGATTTTTCTTCCCCCACCCCCCTTTTCTTTTTTCCTTTTTTTTTTTTTTTTTTTTCCCTTGTGCTTTTGGCCACATCCAACCAGGGAAAGGCCCTCCCCCTCCGGCACCGCAGCGCCCGCGCTCCCGGAGCATGGCCCCCCCTGCCCCTGCCCCTCCGCCGCGGCTGCAGCTGCTGCGGACCCCGAGCGTCTGACTCCAGACGGAGGCGGCGCAGCGCCGGGAGCCACCGCCACCGGCATCGCCTCGGAGCGGCCCCGGGGGAGCGAGGCTGGCCGGGGCCCCTCGCCCCCGCGGGCCCGGAGCGGGGCTCGGCTTAGGCACCGACTGCCGCCGAGCAGCCGTCCCCTGACGGGCTTGCTGCCTGCCGTGCTTGTTTGGATGAGTCTGCGACATGCCTAATAAGAGACGAGATGGGCCAGGGCGACGAGAGCGACCGCATTGTGATCAACGTGGGAGGGACTAGGCACCAGACTTACCGCAGCACCCTGCGCACCCTGCCCGGCACGCGGCTGGCCTGGATCGCTGAGCCCGATGCCCACAGCCACTTTGACTATGACCCCCGCACGGATGAGTTTTTCTTTGACCGGCACCCGGGCGTATTCGCCCACATCCTGAATTATTACCGCACCGGCAAGCTGCACTGCCCCGCGGACGTGTGCGGGCCCCTGTATGAGGAGGAGCTGGCCTTCTGGGGCATCGATGAGACCGATGTGGAGCCCTGCTGTTGGATGACCTACCGGCAGCACCGCGACGCTGAAGAGGCTCTGGACAGCTTTGGTGGGGCTCCCCTGGATAGCAGTGCTGAGGACGGAGACATAGATGGCACCGGAGACTCTGGTGATGGTGAAGATGAACTGGAGATGACAAAACGCCTAGCACTTAGTGACTCCCCAGATGGCAGGTCTGGGGGCTTCTGGAGACGGTGGCAGCCCCGCATCTGGGCACTCTTTGAGGATCCCTACTCCTCCAGATATGCAAGGGTAAGCTATGCAATCAGCATCATCAAAACACTCAAACCTCCCTGTGGTCCCAACTTCCTCCCAGCATCACCAGGGTTCTCTCTGCTGTCTGAGCAGAGCAGGCATCCATGTGTGTGGCCATACAAAAACCACGTGGGGTCTGTGGGGATGTAACCCACACTCTCAAGCAGGCCCCATGCATGTAGAACTAGTAGACACCAAGGCCTGAGCTTGCGTACTCAGATGTGAGCCTCCAGAGACCCTTATTTTCTAATAGGCTCCTAAAACTCATAGAACAGCTTGGGGAAGGGCCCCAGTCATGGGCCAGAGAGGTCTCCATTACACCAGGTAATTTCCCTCTATGCATAGATTTTTACAGTCAGACATCCCCCAGTAAAGAAAGACACCTTGTCCAGCCCTCTTACAAGCTAATGGCTTTCTCCCCTTTACGAGATGGAGAAAGGATTATGGGAGCAGGCATTCCCAGTGGCACCAGGGGATTTGGAGAGTTTCAGCCTGGACTGGAAAGGGAGTCAGTGCCTTTCTCTTTTCTCATACGTAGCAAGTTAAATATTTATGAACATCTGAAAATGGATAATTCAGCTGCTCACTCTGTGTCTATTTCCCTTGTGGGAAATGCAAAGTATTAATCAGAGGAAAGGTTTCATTCATGTAGAAGGGACACTGTGTCTGACAGGTTTCTTTCCTGCTACTGAAGGACAACTCCTCCCCTCCTGGTTCCAGCGATTGTTTTGGGAAGGGAATGCACACTGGTGCAGTTCACAGCAGAAGTGTGGATAAAAATGGTCTGTAACAGTCATCCGACTGCTTTAAGTAGGTATCGCCTCATGCTATGAGAATAATTACATTAATTAGGGCTTGATTCTGCTGAAATCAAAAGTACTGAAAACATTTGCTTCAGGAACAGCAGCAGGATTTACTCCCAAGCTAGTAAAATTGATAACTAGGGAAACTGATGGAGGATAGTGCCTTCATAAAGAAAGTGGTTGGCATAGTCTCTACTCTTAAATGTACCTTTGTTACACCTTAATTTCTGCCAGCCCTCAGAAGGGATGAGAGATGCTTTGCTGGGGGAGGGTGATCAGTGTTCCTGAGAAGTGAGATCAGATTAGGGAGAAAATTGGATGGATGGATGGATGGATGGATGGATGGATGGATGGATGGATGGATGGATGGATGGATGGATGGATGGATGGATGGAGGAGAGAAAAGTGGAAATGCAAGGAGCAGGGAGAGGGGAGCTGGCTGTGTATGAATGGGTGGTGGAATAGCAGCTGCCGGAGACTTGGTCTGAGCAGAGATCTCCAGCAGGGAGACACCAGGTCTGCAAACTGAATGAATGAGGAAAGCTGGAGCAGAGCCTGGAGTTATATCGTGCTGCATTTCTAAAGATTCTTGTTTGCACACCCCTTGGAGACTTTCTCTGTGAACAAAGGAGCTCATATTTTAAATTAATCCCTTTAAACAGCATGGAGGATAAAGGAATAATAGAATATTTACCACAAGATGGAAAGATGATGCTGTTGTATTGCAGCTTTCAAATACCTGATTTTTGCCAAGGGAACATGGAAAGGGAAAGGCAAGGTTGGAGGGTATCCTTCAAAATGCTTAGTTTCCATTAATCAAGCCCAGTGTTAGCAGGCAATCTGAATAGCAGATCTCTCTGGTACCCAGGAATCTGTTGGTAAAACACATTTCAAGTGAAAGTAATGTGCTTGTTCAAGGTTTTGGGAAATGGTTTGAAAGCCAAATGGATAATGTTGTCCCAGTGAAAAGGATACAGAGGTTAAAACACTCTTTTTCTTGGAGGCATTATAATATTTTAGGAGAAGGACAAAAATCGATAACAAATATTAGGAGTTTTTGTGATGCACAGGCTGGAATTCTAGAAGGATATAAATTTTCTACGGGTATTTCTATTTAGCAGTAGGTGTTTTATAAAATGATTTGGTTTTGTTGGGGTCTTTTTTTGAGGGGATGATGTACCATTTATTCACAATCTCCTGTGCATACCTGTTAGAATTCAATTCCTGATTTACCTCTAACTTGTCCTTTCCTTAGAAGATTGTTAAGACTAGATAAATATGAGTACTCAATATTTAATGGGTTAAATATGATTCTTTAACTTGTATCTATGGAGACGTAGGCCACATGCATTAATATTTTGCATGAAGGAAGATGGCTTTCCTCATCAACATGTACACACATTGTCCATTAAGAAGACATTATAGGATACTTAACATTTCCTAATAAAAGCCATACATTATGGTTATGGATGTAAAAAGAGATGGGAGTTTGATTTATACTGCTGTAACCTGACACAGGCATTGCAAAAAGACCTGAAGCTCACAATAGCTAATTTATAGTAAAATAATTGATAACATCATTAACAAGTGAATGGTATATTAAGGCAATTATTGGTAGAGTCAGGCAACAAATCTACTGTTACCCCACTTCTAATTGAATCTGTTACTTTCAGTTACAAACTGCAATTTAGTTGTGTAAAAATCTAAATTCACACTGCTATTTTGTCAAAAAGAAAATCACAAAATTTTCTCTTCCTAAATGGAACTGGGACCTCTACTAAGGGTGGTTATTACACTTCTTTGATGTTTACATATGGCATCAAAATGCATGTCAAAATAACATCTCAATGTAAGCATCAGTTTACATAACCATTATGGTGTTACGCTTGGGCAAGTAAAAGGAATACAGTCTCTGAATATTAAGATTAAATTAAATTCTGCTTATCTATACAGAGCAAGATTCTCTGGACTGTATCTGGTATGCTAGATCAGTGAATGTTTAGGAACTGTCTATGAAAAGCTCAGCATTTACTCAAATCCAGCCATTCTTGGAGGATTTTGATGGACACTGCTTGCAAATACAAGTACATTTGGCTGTTTTTCTTCACCTCCACCTGACTCACACTAAATTACTTCTGATCTCATTGTAGACAGCCAGGGAAGACTGGGAGTGCATTTGTGTACGTCAGGCAAAATCAGCTAACTCTGCAAATTTTGTTTATTTCTTACTTTGATTAAGCAAAGCTCCTAGTCACTAATCATTTGTATTTAGGTGCAACATAGTCAACAGTTGCTTGTTAAAACAATAGTAGCCGATTTTAATTAATTTCAAGTTTTCTCCATGCTAATTTCTTAGTAATTTAGTTCTTTCTAAAAAGAAGAAACACTTCAAAAATTGCATCATCTTCTATATTTGTAATAAAAATGATAGTTTGTTTCAAATGATAGACTGCCTTAGACATCTATCTTAGTAAGACAAACAGGTATTAAACTTCTCAACTTAAAGAATCCACATTTGGATATTAGAGGCAATACCTTGTGCCTGGAGATCTGAACAGAGTAACAAAAGGTGATGAGAAAGATCCAGGGATCCTGGATGATTGTCAAAATCATCTGTCCAGACAGCTAAATATCACTGAACATACCTAAAACTGATGTTTCTATGAAGCTCATTAGAACTGTCTCTTTTGCATCATCAGACAACTTAGTAAATTTATTTTTTCTAAGTAGGCAGAAAGGGGGAAATAGAGTTAGCCAGAAAGCTATGCTAAAGCAGCAGAGAGTTACACTGTGGTGGAGTTCCTGCCCTCTGTACTTACTAGACTTCATAGGTCCCTCAGTACACAAATGTGTGAAAAATATTTTCTTGGCATCCTCTCTCCTTCATATTTATGTCTGGTCATGCTGTTCTTCCACTAGTAAAGCTCCCACTGACTTCCTGGTGAGTTTGGCCTGCAGGTATCTAATATATTTATTCCCCTTCCTCCTCCTCCTCCACAGCAGGATAAGGTTGTGTTTGTGTTAATTCACATTCCTTGGGTTACTCAGTGTTTGAGAATGAGGAGCTTTCAGCTGAGATTGTGCACTACTGCTCACATTCAAATTGGACAGTTCAGGTTTTTTAATGAACTCTCAGGAAAGCTCTTGTAGTCCTTCCAAATAAACCTTTTTACTGTTTTTTAAATAAAAGCTGGTTAGGGTCCTATGGAAAGTTCTCAACAGCTTGACTTGCAATCCTGGCATATGCTGTACCACTTTGATCTGTAAGAGGAAAAGTAAAACTCTCACTCACCCTTCCCTCATGTTTCCCCTTCACATCCTGCAGAAGAATCTGCTTTCCTCAGTGGGTGACTTTTGAAGGACGAGTTTCTGACACCGAGAAGGAGACAGGAAAAAGGATAGTGGTAAAGAGATGAGAAAAAGGTATTCCCCAGGGATTTCTTCCAGCTTTCTTTTGTGCATTCAAGAGCATTTCAGCCTTGCTGTGTTCATTTAAACTGATTTTTCTCTCTATAAAGTAACGCTCATAGGTATGAAAAGACTTATGGGATCCTAGATCCTGAATAACCAACTGTCTTAAGGATTAAAGGCTGGGTTGATTCTGCTCATTCCTTACCCCTGGCCAGCACAGCTTAGCTCAGGAATTGAGGCAGATATCAGGGAGCGGCAGCAGATACTCCTCATCCTTCACAAGGGGAGCTTATTCCACAGATGTGTGATGCGGGACACGCTTGGCACAGGAGCACTTCACGGACAGTGGTCTGGAGCCTCCCACCCCGCAGGAGCAGACAGGGACAGAGGGGCTGAGAGCTGCCCCACTCGCTTCCCTCTACGCTCCTCAGGGCCAGCTTCCAAGGGGCCCTGGTGGAGCTGCTCTCCCACCTTGAACCTTTCTGGAAGGTGTCTCCTGCAGAGCCATATCTAATCCTGCACTGAAGCTGGCTGCAGGAATTCTCACCATATACTGTGACAATTAATGAGAGAGCCTAATTTTAACTGCATGCTGCATTACAGCTCTGGAAAAACGAGAATCTTTCCACATCCAATGAGGTTTCCCTTGCACTTGTAGTATAATGGAATTACAGACATCTATTAACTACCATTCTATCATTCATTGTTAATATAGTTCCTAAAATTTCACTTTCTTCCTATTTTCTCCGATCAAGGAACATATTACTGCAAATCCTTATATAACCCACTAGTAAGCATGGTAGTCTTCTCTGCATCCTGCCCAAAGAGACCTTTGCAATGCCAGTTAGAAAGTGTTCATTGCTCCAAGTCCCACATCCAGCCCCTATCAAATTGGTCATGGTGGGAGCAGCTAGACAAGTAACTCCTGGGAATTATCCATCCAAACTCAGAAGTAATACCTTTTTAAACTACCACACACACAAAAATTTAAAAATACCAGAACAGCCGTGCAGAATCATGGATTCACCATTTTGAGCTGTTCAGAAACACACAGGAAGATATGATGCCTGCCCAGCAAATCTTACAATCTCTTTGAAGTCACGATCTCACAAGGAGATGAGAGAGATGATGTTACCCACCTGACAATTCCATGGCTGCCAAGTACAGACTTAGCAGTGTGGATTCAAGGACATTTTTTTTAAATCTATTTTCCTAATTCCAATTTTATTTCTATTATTCTAAAACCTTAAAAAAGAACAGCATCTGTTCTTTTTATTCAATTTTTATCTTATTTAATTTTAATGTTTCTAGGTTACAAAATTTACTTCATTTAGCCAAGGCTGTGATTGTATGGATCATACCATCATATACATACACATATATATGCCTTCCTATTGCTGCCACCTCCTACGATGCTGAGTGGGATTTCCATATGAGGAAGGACTTCAAAATTAAACCACCCCAAAATATTTCTGCAGAAGTAACAGTGGTGCCACTAAAATCAATGCAAATTTAGTGGCTGGGTTCAGAAAGGTATTTGGCCCCTATGTACCTTCAGTTATTTTCTTTGCCCTTCTCCTGACATTTGCTATTTTGGTTTTGGTTAGGGCAAAAAAGGCAACAAAATACTGGTAATTCTCTGTTGTTCTATCATGAGACAAAGGAGGAAAAGATCTGTGGATCAATTATAATATTTCTATTTTAGAACTGATCACAGAAACGTGGCATATTAGACTACAGGAGTAGGAAAAACTAGAACTATTTTTCCATCTTGTTCTTCCCTTCTGCTGTGCGATCTAGAATTTAACAGTATTTGTCTTTCTTATTTGTAAAAATGTGTGTATATTTACAGTAGTACTTTAGTAAAGTCTATACATACTGCCTTTCTCTTAACATAAGGAGAGTTGTTAGCAAAGCAGCAACAGAGGGCCCAGCCTTGCTGTTATTGAAACTCAGCCAACATTACCACCAACTTCAAGGATCTAAATGAATTTTCCTGCAGTATGGTTCAGGATAACAAATTAATTGCTGTATACTGCTTTTTTTAATAGACACGTTGTCTATTTCCATTCCAAAGCACTAAAGTGCAATAGAACTTAGCAATTTATTAGGAGCATACATATTCAAATACATGTGTTCATAATCTTTTAAAGACATGAACATCTTTAGCACACTGCATCAAAACATAGAGCTCTAATACTGACAAAGCTCATCACGATCTTATTGGCTTTTTTTACTGCAAAGGACTGTAGAATAAACCACATGACTTCAATTAATGTTCAACTAAATCATATCCAAGCGCTGTGTTTCGTAATAAAAAGGGCAAGCAGGAGTATTCAGATTGAAAAATTGGGCCCTAATTGATAATCAAGTGTGTAATTTCTCATGCAAATATAGATGGCAAAACTGAGTTTCCATTTTGTATAAGCTTGATTTTATGAAATTTCTGTGCATTCTTGGGGTATAAGACTGGTAGAAAAGCCATTTTGACATCTTTGCAATTGTCTTACAATTAGGTTCTCAGTTACTATATGCTGAATTTTATCTGAGGAAAGAACAGTTTTGAAGGCTGACTTGGCTTTCCCTGCTGAATATTGAATTACATAAATATGTGATTCACTCCAAATGGTACACAGAAGTGGTAGGATCGGATGAAATCAGAGAAATCTATGAATCCATGGAGAACCACCTCCTCCCCCTGGAATATAAACCAAATGCTGTCATTTCTAGAATAATTTTTACATCTCTCTCCTGTGCTCACTAAGTAACCAGATTTTGCTATCTTCACTCCTACTCCTGTAGTGATAGCTTACTCCAGGAATATCCCCGTTTCCGTCAGGCTGAGAACAAGATACCACCCAACATGGGTAAAGGTAAAAGGACCAGGCCCTAATGGATTTTAATTTCTTTCTGATAAGATTTATAAAATGTAACACAGGCGCTAATAAATCACGCAGTAAAAATTATGAATAAATTGTGGGCCAAGGCTTTTTGCAGTGATTGCTTATGATGTAAGACCCTTTAATGACAGGAAGTTAAAATTGCATTGTAATGGCCTTTTGTAAATGCAATAAATCTCAGGTTTCAGTGCACTGCAGACAGCCAGCAATGTGTGTGCTGCACACGAGCTACCAACACAGGCACACGCTGCTGGCACACACTTACGTAATCATGTTGATACTTCAGGAGCAGCAGTAAATCTCAGCACTGCTAGATTTACTTTGAAAAAATCTTGGGTCAGGACCACTGAGGTGTTGTGACTACGAGAAATAGCTTAAAATATCATACTGGCTTTTTACTTGAAAACCTGGGAAAGAATGTCCCTTTTAAAAGGCAATAAAATGGATTATTTGTTTTAAATAGCAAAGGCAAAGCCTATTGCTACCAAGTCTTACAATTTTCAGTGGCAAATACAAGTTAAAACATACATTTTCACCTGCACAACCAAACCAAATTGATCTTCTTGTCTGAATTTTCTTGATCATCTACCCATTCACAAAAAATTACAGGCACACAGAGATACATCAACAGTTACTTAATGTTTGGACTGCAGCAGAGTTTCTCTTGCTTCCCACATTTACCCTCAAAAAACATATTCTTAAATACAGAAAGATCTGGTCAGCTTGGGTTGCTTGTTTTACACGCCTAAGAAATTTAGCTGCAGATTTCCCTTGAAAATTCATTCCAATACCCCTGTTCTGTTCTATTTATCAGCTTGGGCTTCTTGCAGTTTTCATTACACCAGATCAATTGACAGGTATAGATGGTGAAGGCCAGTTCTGTGATTTATCCAGTTATAAATTAAATTAAAACCTTCCGTTAGAATGCTTCAGACTTGATAACAGACTTCAAAACAAAATTAATAGGAAGAAATCTCTAAAATGCTGACCACCTACGACCTCCAGCAGAAGGGAGGTCATGTCCTAGAGCAGAAAGGACACAGGCAGGCAGCAAACAGACCATCACTAAAATCCCACCCCACTTTGTAGGGCCACAGTCCCAACTACCACTGATTTTAGTGGGATCCAACCAGAGATCCATGCAGATCTATTTCAGGTAAAATTTTTCAGGACAAGGACAATTGTGTAATTGCCACAACGTGCAATGCAAAAGGGCTTGCCTTCTCAGCAGCCTTTGATCTCTACTCTAAAAACACCACAACATGATCTCAGCCACATTGTGCTATTCCCGTTTCCCTTTTTAGCATGGATCTCCCCTTCTCTTCTAGTGTGGAGTTCTGCAAGAAATCTAGTGACAGTACGTCTTAGCACTTCTCGGGAATGTGTCCCGCATAATGCAGAACTGATTTTAACTCGGGGTTTTTCAGCAAAGCACGTGTAAGGACAAACCAAGAACAACCTGACTGTGCTGTGATAGCTCATCCAATACCCAGACAGAAGCAACTGCTGTGGGGTGGTGGTTGGTTTTCTGGTTTTGGGGCAGTAGCAGATCAGCTTAGGTCTGAATTTTGCTTAAGTGATAGTGAAATTCAGTGTTCTGTTGTTTAGTGTTCAGTTGATAGGAGTTCACTGTCTATCCTACCAAGAAGTCCCTGAGGTGCTAGGGATTTTATTAAAAGACCTAATGTAAATTTCAAAACTGTATAGATTATTTAAAATGCTAGTTATGTCTAAGCAGCAGGAAATCAATAGTGCAAAAGTGCATTCACAGGTCTAAAGAAAGCATCTTTTGGAGAACCTGCTCTTCTAAGCAAAGAAGCTCCGTTTTCACTGTGTCAGTGGCATGGACTACAGGCAAATAAAAGTTTGAAATTCAGTAAAAATTCTATAACATCTTCAACTCCACACCACAAATTTATCTTCATGTCCATATTACCATCAGCTACAGGAATGCCTAAAACTTTGCATTTACTGTTCTGAAAGGATATCTTGGTTGGGACAGCAGGGTAAGCCTTTGTTCTTACTAGGTGATTTTTAACATTCATTCAGAACTTTCCCACATGTCCTCAGAGGAGTACACAGACCTACATGGTGGAAATTTACTAGAAAATAAAAAACAAAACCCTAAAAAAGCCCCCAAACCTGAGCTTTGGACAAACGATTGCAAGCAACTGAATTAGTGCAGTTTATGGAGTGAGCATTTGCTCTGATCAAATGAGATCTGACCAAAGCCCTGCTTATTTGCCTATGTTAGCACTGAAGGATCCTCTCAGGAGGAGCATCTGCAGCATGCCAATAGTGCAAAGGCAGGTCACACATATTAACTCAGCAAATGGACATTTGCAATGGGCACAAGCACACAAGCACCACATTTTATTAGCTCAGTATGGCACATCATTTGGGTATTTGGGTATAGCCCTTTTCATTTTTGATGAATTTTACTGTGTGTGAAATCATACAAGATGTTTAATCTTAGTATGTCACTTTCAAAATAGAAAACCAAAATTTCTTTGGTTACTTGCTTGGCACTTTTTCTTCTTTCTCTTACTATATGTTTATTTCAGTAGCTAGCACAATAGAGTTATAATTTCTGTGACACCTCTAAATGCTTGTTCTATAAAAACAGCAAGTTGACAGCATCTTAGGGAAGACTTTACACTATACTCTGATGTAATGTTTTCCAAACCAGCCTGGACTGCAGCAGAAGATTGCCCAAGGCTGTGATCCTTCCAAAGGTGCAGTATGTGCCTGAGCTGTGGTGGCCAGTGCACAGACAGAAGGGCTTCTCCATTACCACCTTCTCCATCACTCCTGTATCCAGGAAATCTAGCAGTCACTTCCTACATCTTCACTTCTGAGGGCAGACTCATGGAAGGGTATCACCATGTGAGCTAAAGCTTAGAATTCCCAAAACACTAACCATACATCTGTAATTTTTTTAAATGTATATTGAAATTTTCCAGTGCCTAAAGTGTTTTTTCTGCATGTGCCCAAAACTGCCTTAGCACTGTTGGCAAATAGCTTATATCAAAGCCTGGTTGATGCCCATAATTTTCCTTCACTAAAAAGAGAAGTCCTTTAAATGAACTGGCCAAATACATAGTGAATATATGCTGTTTTAAAAAACATACTCAAAAACATGAGATATTTGTAGTATAAAACAGTTCCCTGGATGGAATAATCTAGTAGATACTGGTTTTTGCTTAGAATGTGAAATTTCAAATTTAATATTTTCCTCCCACTGCACAATTTCAATTTTTCATCCATCTCTGCTTGGGAGCCCTGCCCACTTCACAAAGCTGCATAATCCAGGCAGTTGGTGAAGTTAATCCAATTTGCACAGCATGAGGAGTTCACAAACCATTATACTGGGAAGATGGCAAAGCAGCATTTCCCAATAATGTGGGAGAGGCTGCTCCTCTGTGGTAATTCTGGGCCACTGAATTCAGCAAGGTCAATAGCAGAAAACAGATATACATAGTGGCATTATCAGAGACTGCCTCATGTTGGCATATGACAAGACTAGTCCTTTTATTTTCACTCACTTGTTGGAAGCCAGTTCCTGGTAGGAAATAACCATATGTTGCCCTCATACATTGGACTCCACGGTGAGCCGTGCACAATGATTTCGGGATCTCCATGCAGCCCCTGTGGAGAAGGAATGTGCAAAATGCACAGAAAAGTAAGAGATTATATGCAGGGTAGATAATATGCAGAATTAAGAGAGGACTTTTTCACCCCAGAACCTGAGCAGATTTGCCATGCTGCAAAGCGAGCTCCAAAGTCAGTGTGAGGACACATCACATAATTTGTTTTGAAAAGACCTGCGTTTCCCAGGGCCATCAATCTGTCACCTTTCAGTTGTGCCATGGAAATAAAAGCATTCTTAAAATCTCTGAAGGCTGCCTTTTCATCAATATTTTACCATAAGCATTATTTTAATTTAAATGGCAATTGATTGCTTGTATTTTATTACTTTTCAATAAAATTCATGATCACCAATAAAGGAAAGTGATCGCAATGAAATTATTGCTAGGATAAATCTGACTTGGAAAAGCACTAGACCAAGTCTTTGCTAGATCAGAGCCTTTTACAGCATGTATGTTTAGTTCTGGTTTTAACAACCAACACACAAGTGATCAATGGGCATTCTAGCTATTACATTCACTGCTTTCACGATACACTTAAAACTAGTCCAAAATCTTACTGGAAACTGCAAAGGGTATATTGTCAAATATCCCTCTCTGCTGTAACTTACCCTATATAGGAAGACTTGCCAGGGGCGCTAATGAAGCGGAGATAGTTTTGCAGTTTTACCATCTGTTATCAAATATACTCCAGCTATAAGAGAAACACAATTGTATTAGAATTTAGAAGTGACAAACATTGGAAAAAAAATTTCTTTCATTGTTTAAATTGCTTTGATGAATAGTCCAAAGAGCAAAATGTTTGGCCAATTAATAAAACATCTCAGGGCTGCTTTAAAAAGCAAGATGCAGCAAAAAATAGTGATGGAGTTGAACATAACCACAACACAACAGAGAGGTACAAATCAGTAACCATGTCATTCCACAGCCTTCAGGTTTAGGCTTTAATTCAGGATAATACACCCTATTTTTCTATCCTACAGAAAAAAAAAAATCAACACAAAAACCCATTTGAAATGTGAATGTCATTGAAAAATATAAAAATGCTCCATGCTATGTGATGACTGTAGAGTGCTTAAGAACTGCATCCTCCTAACCTTCTTTCCATCCTAAGTAAGGACCTTTGGGGTAAAAACTCCAAAGAACACTACAGTTGAGTTTCACTTATGTGCACTGGACTAAAAATGAACACTTAATATTTATGTGAATCATTGTCAGTGTCAAGTGAGATGAAGCTTATAAAAATAGATCCAAATCATGGAATGAGTTTTAAGACTCAGTGGGTAAATGCCTCTTTACATACAGTATTATTTATAGATATTTTTTAATCTGTTCTGTCATCTTGTCTCTTAAATTATTAGAAAGTAAGAAAGAAGGAACTATGGCAAATGTAGATGAAAGAGAAATCTTACTGGGAACCGTGGCAGGAATATGAGCAAAATCCAGGAAGTTTAAAGCTGTGCTCCTAAGCCCCTTGCTTTCTGTATTAAAACAGTTCCAGCCTATTTTGCAATAAAATATGCTTTTTTTAAAACTAACTATGCTATTGAAATAGAAGGAATGGTATTTTCAAGACTCTCAGGCACCCATAAGACTTGCTGCCACATCTGAAAACCAGCTAATCACAAGCCTGTTTCCAGCATTGGGCTGAGTCCTGTCTCTGTGGTCTCGTGAAGCCCTTGACATCCTACATTAATCAAAGTCCCCTCTAGATATAAATGTTGAGCTCACCATGGCCACAACAGCAATTTCAGCATTGGATCCCAGTTTTTGTAGCTCTCTTAGAAGTCAGTGACAACTGCAGATGGTCCCTAAGTTCATCTCCAAAGGTTCTAAGCATTAAAAACTTAAAATGTTGTTGTGGTAGCTTTGTACATCTATTTATCACCATCTGACAAGGAGACTGCTGGTACTAATACTGCCCTGCATCAGCAAGGTTCTGTGAGTCTTAACCATTTATGAAAAGACTTTAAAAAGCTGCTACAAAAAGGACAACAATAACGAAAATAGAATTGGAAGCAAGTATTTGATATTGAAGGGCAAAATTCAGAGGGTTCATCCACAAGGCTTCTTCTGAGTTCTTGCAAACAGAGGAATGTTACATTTCATATGTAGGAATCTGGGGAGGTCATTCTTTCTGCAGGCAGGTGGAAAACTCTCCTTTGAAGCAATTGGAACCATTTCTTCCTTTATACAGAGACATTACACAACCTCTATCCAACAGGAAATAAAACTGGGTAAAGCAGGCAGCTCTCTTCCCTGAGAGAACATGTATCCAGAGGCTTTTGCTTTGACCATTTAGATATCATTCTTATAACCACCAAGGTGAAGTGGTTTTTTTACTCTCTTCATCCAGGTAGGATTTTAACATAGCTGTATGTCTGCTGAGAGCAACACACAGAGCTGCTCTTTGATTTGAAGGCATTTCTTGCAAATACAAGCTTTTCCTGCTCATGACTTCAATTGCAAGATCTAATTCAGACCAGTGAGAAATTATATCTAATATTTTTGTTCTAATTGTCCTAAATCTATTTTAGCAGTGAGATTGATGTGTTTACAGGCACAAGAATTGCTATAATTTAAGCAGAGGTTTCCGATGTGAATGTTAGGAATAATTGGGGTTTTTTTATTGCCACGAGGACATCTGAGGATATTGTTCATCCCAGTAGTCAACCAGGTTTTATTTAGCAGTTTCAGTCTAACAGATGCAATTTCCACTTATGATAACTGTGGGCACATAATTAATTTTAGTAACTGCAAAACTTATAGTAGAAATACTTTTATGTGACATCCCCTGCTCCTTAATTTGACAATTGCAGAAAATCAAAAATAAAAAGAGGGATTTCTGCTATGAGCTTGTACAACTGTCCAACTGCTTGTACAACTTGTACAGCAGTTTATTCTAAAGATCTGTAATGTACACAGATGGCAAAATGCTCACAAATACATCCAAAAATTATGTGTGAAAACTATATTCACAAGTCTTGCTCTGTGTTTATTGAGAGACCAGAAACTGTATTTTGACAGGAATATCAATAAGGACTTAGATTCAAAAAAAAAAAAAATGTTTTCCATTTACTACTTACACTGCATAGGGTACTAGCTGTAATCAAGAAAAATTTCAGGATGGCATGAAACTCTCAAGCTGCATAATTCCCAATAATTCTCAGTGGAGTCCTGCTATTTAAATGCCCACAGGCCACAAAAATGCTTTTAAGCCAACTCAGTAGCCTAAATTACAAATTCTAGTTAACAAAATTCACCACAAGCCTGCAGTTTAGGGTAGAATATATTCTCTTCTTTAAATACATCTGCCTTCATCAAAATGCTTAGTGGTCACTCATTATTTTCAATCTCTCATTATGCTGAAGCAGAGACTTTCTTTTTTTTTAAACATACAGAAAGACATGAGGCTTAAGTAAAGTCACCATGCTTGCCACCAGCCCCTCTAACATTTTTTGCACAAGGTTATTTGTCTTTCCAATTCAACTGCTTGTGAGAGTTGCAAGGAAGGGAAAACATTCATGACTTGATCTTTTTGGTGGTTTACATTTTTGGAAATGTTGCCAATTTAGGAAAGCCTTCTCACAAAACACAGACATTTTGGCTAAGAAAGAATATTGTATGTACCCCAGTTTCAGATCTAGGGTTGGACAAATAAATGTAGATACATTTTGGCAACAAATTTTTTTTTTTCCTCCAATTTCTCCCCCTCCTCTCAAATAACACTTTTTCAAAGCTTTATCCTTTCCTCCATAAGAGGAATATTATTAATTTCTTTTTCTCCCCTCACACTGACTTAATAAAAAAGTGAAAATGAAAATGGTAGTCAGGGAAAAAAAAAGAACAAAGCAGCAAAATTTAAGAGGGAATACCAGGAGATAAAAAAGAAATAAGTTTCTGCACAATATTTTGCTAAAAAACTAGGTAAGAAAAAAAATTTGCCTGTTTGAAATCTGAAGGACAAATATGACAAATGTTGTTGAATGTTTTCAAGGAAAAAATTATCTCCTTTTTTTTAAATTGCTTTTTATTATTTCCATTGAGTAATTTACAAATACACATCCATCTTATTATAGTCCTTATCTTGACTGAGGTGAGGGTTTTTTGTTTGGTTAGTCCAAAATTAGTTGGGAATATAAACAGCTTTCCATGTAGGTCAGAAAAAAAAAAATCTTCAAATTATTTTAAACCTGGCACTGTGTTTGTTTAGCCTTTTCTGTACATGAAAATACTCTCCCTTTTAGAAGCATGTTCTTGTCCTTCTGATAATTCCTCTTTCACCCGGAGTCTGTGGCACCAATTCTGGGTTTTAAACAGCATTTTAATCACTGCTGAATAGCTGCTCTCTTGCTCACCGAGCATGGGATGCTATGCAGTGGAGGAGCTGCAGTCTCCATCAGAGGTGAGAAGGACACTCTTGAAGTGGAACTGCAGAAAATAGTGGTTGCAATGTAAGCAGTGAGAAGGAAAATGCCTGGAGAAGGATATATCTCCTAGCAATAGGAGATGGAAGGAGTCTTCAGAACTAGAAAAACAAATCACTGTAGGGAGAGGGAAGTCTCACCCCTCAAGGTTCACTGGACATTGAGGGTCAAATAGAGTCAGGACCCTGGAAAGGGAACACAGGATGACAAAACAGCATCTTGCTAGTAGAGGGAGACAGTCAAGAGATTGAAATCTCAGACTGTGGCCACTTAGAGCAATTTTTTTTTCAGCAAGGTGACAACCTAGTCAGAATAATTCAAGCACATTAGCAACATGCAGTAACTTCTGCATGTACTGCAAGCAAAGAAACAGCCCTCACGAGAGCCCAGGAGGAAGGGGGCTTGCACTAAGTTATTTTGTGGTCAAAGGAGCAGATTTTGCTGTTGTAAGTTTGCCAAAGATTAAAAAAAAGGGTTAGGCTCCACGTGAAAAGCTGCATGTATTGTGACCAGTGCTAATTCTGGAGAAGCCTTTGCTGTAAGGACACGTGAGGATTTTGGACAGCATG